AAATTACCAGTAAATTTTATACTGGCTATTAAACTATTACTTGAACACTTGTCAACGATAGTGAGTAAAATTCTGTAATATTTCGCTGCGTAGCATACTTCTAAGATAAGGTAAAATATCTCGAATTAACATATCTTCAACACGCTCTTCGTGCCAAAAGACCGAAGCAAAAGTTACAGAGTATAAATTCAAGAATAAAGCAAAAGTACAAGTGAAACGCGCGTCAAACGCAGGGTACAGATACTAACCAAATTTAGTGCTCGGTTAGCATCGATTTAAACGTGCAAACCTGCGTCATATGATGTCACCTCTGGAAATCGTAAAAAGAAAAAAAAGAAAAAAACCGACAAGAAATAAAATGCCTGTTGGAATCTTTTATACTCTTTGCCTCGGTGTCGCAACCGAGAAGGACACTGCGTTTTGTCGCGGATTTCGATTCGCGGAAAATAATCTTGGGCAACGATCAGCGAGTCCGGCACGGACCTTTAACATACCCTATTGCGAAACGCACATCCAAGGGAGATTAACGTTTCAACCAGGGCTCCAACAATACGCAAGTTCAATCAAAGAATTCATAAATTCGCGTGCACAATGTGACAACAGTCCTCTAATGTGTTCCTGTTACACAACTGTTCTTATCTGGCTGTGCGCTCCGCGTATAATACAATTTCCTCCCTGTCTGTCAAGCGAGGAGAGAAGTGGTACCGTACACGCACGACACCAGCAAAGATATCTCGTTCCTCGATGTGGCAACGATCTCTCGCTTGTACCGTATACGTCACGACGCCGCGCGATCGACGAACAAAGGAGACTGTGTGATTTCCCGTGACGAAGAGGGAAACAAAACCCGCAAGGGAATGAAAATCTTCAGTGTAATCTTCTAGAACACTTCTTCGTCCCTTTCGTCCGAGAGTTTATGCAGCATTACATAAACGTCATTGAGTTACAGCGAGATCCAAAATATACGTATAACTGCTGATTCCAAGAGTTAAAATATCAGTTCAAATAACTCTATTATCGGGCAAATAACCGAAGAATATTCAGTATATCTTAATCTAGTAAAAAGATTATACGTGTAAAATCGAGTTGAGTAATATTACGTTTGTATCATGCGACAAATTTAACATTACAGAGGTGCACCTTGTGGGGTTAAAAACTGTAAGGAAGGATGCAATAATGTTTCTGGGCAGAAACCAACTTGGTTGTTCAACGAAAGAGCTCGAATTATTTTAATTAGACTCACAATTGATCAGACAAATCAATATGTAAAACGTGTCAACGGATATGTTAAATATTACTAATATTGTTATTTAAATTATTTGTAAGATTCTCATATATTTGAATAAGACGAACAACTTGGTTGACTTTTTCACCAACGTTAACATATTTAATGCAACTTTGTGTTATCATCACTGTGATTGTAATAACCAATCAGAGGTTCGTATAATCTGAAAAATTAAATGAAGCAAAAGAAAAAAAACTGTACAAGGGAAGAACAGCAATGAAACGAAGAAGAAGATGAGAAAAAAAAAAGGAAGAAAGAAAGAAGTGGAGACATAATCGTGCGAACTCGTATCACTTAAATGTGATGCAACGTGCGTTATTTTCTCGCGGGGAGATGAGAGAGTCCGACAATGAAACTCAAGGTCGTTCCACTTTCCAAGCTTCCCAGGAACCATCCGCCGTACCATCTGTGATTTTTATTATCTGCAATGTGCATCGTTGATACAAGGGACGAGGTGAATAAAATGATATAATTAAACATACATCGAGCGAGAGCGGGTATATATCATTTGCCTTTAGTGTCGAGGATAACTGTATAAGGAAAGGTATTACGAGTACGAGTTTACGGGTGAACGTAAAGTTTTACTTTGGACGATCTTTTATAGGGATTGAGAGAGAGAAAGAGAGAGCTCACTACTCTTCGCGCGTATATATATATATATATATATAT